GGATGGATGGATGGATGGATGGATGGATGGATGGATGGATGGATGGATGGATGGATGGATGATGGATGTTGGGTGGGTGGATGGATGGATGGATGGATGGATGGATGGATGGATATTAGATTGATGGATGAATGGATGGATGGATGGATGGATGGATGGATGGATGGATGGATGGATGATGGATGTTGGGTGGATGGATGGATGGATGGATGGATGGATATTAGATTGATGGATGGATGATGGATGTTGGGTGGGTGGATGGATGGATGGATGGATGGATGGATGGATATTGGATGGATGGATGGATGGATATTAGATGGGTGGGTGGATGGATGGGTGAAGGATGGATGGATGGATGAGTGGATGGATGGGTGAGTGGGTAGGTGGAAGGATGGATTGATGGGGGTAGATGGATGATGTTGGATGGGTGGATGGATGATGGATGGATGGATGGATGGATGATGGATGGAGAATAGGTGGATGGATGGATGGATGGATGGATGGATGGATGGGGGGTAGATGGATGATGTTGGATGGGTGGACGGACGGATGGATGGATGTTGGAAGGGGAGGATGGACTGATGGAAACATGATGGATGGGTGGACAGAATAAACAAAAAAAAGAATAAATCCAAAGAAATTATGAAAGAACAAAACTGTGGAAGTAAAGAAAAAGAGGGAAAAAAGATGCAATGAGGAAAGAAGGGAGGAAAAACACTTCTTCTCGCCCTCCTTCCATGTTCAAAGTGGAAGGACAATATTTACCTGTAAAATAAACACTTAGAGACTCCGGGAGGCCTGTCGGGTTTAAACAAAGGAGACTGTTACAACTGGAAGGTGATAAAAGGAAAAAAAACACCTTATCTTCAAATTCAGATGCTGTCAGGCTGGACAAAGAAAACTTTAATGAATAAACAAGAATGCTTAAAACAACTGAAGAGTCAAAGAGGAAGGGTTTCTGCAGCAAAGCTCTAAAACCCCAGATTAAGAAACATTTAACTTGGCAAGCTTTGATGTTGGATTATGGATTATCCTTTAGAACCAAGGTGTCTTAAAAAATCCTCTTAACTGTCCAAACCACCCTCGGACTGCTTTGAAAACAGAGTTCAACTCCTCTGCTGCCGTTTTCAAGATTCAGTATTGAGTATATAAAATAATATATCCCCTCTAAGGGCTGAATATGAAAGAATGCATGACTATAAGTAAGGCCACACCAGTAAAGGAGTACTGGTAGAGTTCCTGGAGGTGTGACGGAGCAGGCGGGGGTCTGTAGATGATTTTTCCGTTGTTGACGTCAGCCTGCGTGAAATGTTTCACGGCTTGGAGCGGCCTGTCTCGATGTTCGATGACCCCTAAAACAAATGCAGGAGAGGCCAAAATTTACCGACTCATACAGGAACACTGCAGTTAAAATCCATGAATAAAGCAAACCTTTCCTTCTTACCAGGACTACATTTGAATAGTTAGTCCTAACTTCAGTATGAACTTTATAAAATCACACTAAACCATGCCCATATGCATATATGCAAACAGACTTCGACAGATTGACTCCTCCGTCACAAAATATTAGCTTCATATTGAAATTATATTAAAAAATTCTAAATTTTCGGCAAAATACATTTTCATTCACTTCCAAACTGCTTAGATTTTATAGCATTTAATTTAGAGCCTCTAATGACTAAGAAATGAGAAGGTAACATTTTAATAATTTGCAGCAGAGCTTCTAAAAGGATCAGTTACTATAACAGTTACTCTTTCATGGTGTCACACAGGTATTTGGGGGAGTGGTGGCCTAGTGGTTAGGGCATAGAACTTGGAATCCTGAGGTTCAAGCCCCACTCCCACAGACTGACACACTTAACGTCCGATTGCTGCCCAGGCACTCCATAATGCAGAGGTAAATTTCTCCATAGTGAGATCAATAAAGTATATATAAAAAAAGAGTCCCAAAAACATATTTTACAGCTGTTTCAATTTATAAAGCTCCCTGACCTGAATCCCTACTAGATTGTGGATATCTTGGATACAATCAGATAAACACAGTATAGTAAGATATGCATGGTTTAATTAATGGTTAGACTGCAATATTGTTTATTTTTCTCCAATGTGAAAATGAAATAAAAATAAAGTAAACTCATTTTAAGGAGAGTTTTGTCATGCAAAGACAGACTTGCTGATACTTTATTTATACAATAAAAAAGAAATACATATATATTTTTTTAATTGGCTCTTCGACAAAACCGATGCCTAAATGAAATCTGATATAAAAACAGCAGAACAATGAGAAGGTTGTGTTTTTAAAAATGTGAATCTAACCTCCTTCCTCTCCTCAGCCTGACTCCTCACTAATTGATCATTCCATTAGTTGATGAATGAGAGCCGTTCTAAAGCGTTTTTCCGTTTCATTACACCAAGCTGAATGTTAGGCAGCAGACTGACGGATGCTGAAACAAGCATGTTTAGGTCTGAGTGGTGCATTAAATTCAGCTGCAGTTACACAGGAAGTCCATGTTAAAAGCGTTGCACTAAAGACGTTCAGACATCAGAGAACTATGAAATCCTGTTTCAGTGTAAGAAGGTCAATAAATCAGTTATATAAACATTATGCTCCTAAGAGGAAAATTAACATTTATTTTCATTTCTTGGGGATTAGGTTTAGGGTGAGTATTAGCTGTTAGTAAAGGCAAGAAATACATTTGTGATATAAAGGGTTATGGTTCCAGATAGGGTCAGGGATAAATACAGTGCATATGGGTAGGAATACAAGCTTGTATTTATGCTCACGGCTCACCTTGTCCGGGCAGAAGTGGTTTGGTGATGTTATAAATGAGCTTCTCGCTGGGAGTCCCAGCATCGATGAAGGAGAGGGCTGAAGGTGTTATTTCTGTTACCTGATCATCCAGAGCCTTCACAAATACAAACATATAAATAGGTTAAAATGAGAAAATAAAAACAGCAGTTACACATTAAACCCAAAAGATAGAACCCTAACTGACCAGTGTGCTCATATCAAAGTGTTTAAAGTTATTCATCACTATACAGCTTGACACAGACAAAATCTACATACCATAGAAATAAAAGATAAAAAAACAAGCAAATGCAGTTTTTTTTAGGGATTATGAGGGAAATCTTCTTGAAAATGAAGATAAGCATTTGGGTGGAGGCAGCTGTCCTCTCTGGGGGACGCTTAGTGGGATTCTATATACCTCAGGGGACAGTTAGTATGTTTGTCTTTGCTTTTGCTCACTGTGATCTGCAGGTCACAGTCGGGGGCCAGTTGTGGAAATCCTGGGATCTGAGGTAAAACTCCAATAGTGAAAGTCTGAGCATCGCTCTGTATGAGAGGGGAAACATCCGAGGAAACCTGCAGACACAAAAGTAAAAAGATATCAGAGTGGATTTCATAAACAATCAGCTTATTTTGTCACACAACTTAATGCAAGGAAACAGGGAAAAAAATCCAGCAAAGACCAGAGAGATGCATCATCCTTTAGCCTGACCATCTACTGTGTGCCATGTTACTGCTAAAAGCTCCTTGGAACAAAATACTGATCTTAGCCAATTCATCCTTCTCTGTCAATAAGGCATAAGTCAGAAACTATTATCTGAATCTAACAGACCATAAAAGTAAAATTAACCCATTTTTCTACAGTTTGTCCACAGCTGTGACAATTGCCGGGTCTGAGGTGTGATTGTTGCCGAGTTAAAATCATCCCATTCCACCCATCTGTCAGTAACCTCTGTCATAAAACATTTATAATCTTGCAAAAAACAAACACAGCATCTGCTTTATCCCGACAGACGAGGGGAAACTCTTTCGAGCACTTTGTAGAAGCACCGGGGTTAAAAGGGGGCTTTGAAAGTGGCCGATTTTACAAGAGTAACCATTTACATGCCTGAGGTCCTTCCCAGGTTAGCAGCTTTTCTTCTCAACAAGTTGCCACTGAGCAATAACAGCCACTAAAGCTGAAGACTAAAGAAAAAAAAAAAAAAAAAAAACCCGGACCTCTTTTTCCTGTTTGAATTCTCAGCTAAAGCTCAGACATTTTTACACCTCTTTAGTTCTAACTTTCCATTAATTAGAAATTATTCTCTTTTGGATTAAGCCAAATTAAGGGCTGATAAGCACCAAGTGGTTTAGTCTAATCCTTTAGCTCTTCGACCAATCAAAAAAAAAAACATAATTTCCCATCACACCAGTTAAAGTCAAAGCTTTATATCAAACTTTTTTTTTCAAACACGACCATAAAGACCGTGTCAAACACAACCCTAAAGACTGTGAAGTCATGATCTCTGCATCGTTTCAGCTATGTCTTGTTTGTTTGCATCTTTCTTTTGTAGAAAATAAGTTTGGGAACTTGTAGAGAAGAAGCCTGCAGTTAGTGCCACCAATCACAAGTAATGTGCTGTCATGAGAGTCAGAGCCGAGTCAGCTGGATTTACTGAAGGCGGTGTCGCTGCTGTAAATTACTGATTATACAGCAGATTGGATTCAACATAAATGCCACGCTCCTTATATACGGTACTGTTCAAAAGTTTCTGAAGGTCTTTACTTTTTTGGAGGCTGGGTTAGTAGATTTTTTTGCTCAACACAAAAACCCACAATCTTTCTCTAAACAGGATTAAATTAGACAAAAACGAATAAAATACTTAAACCTTGAGGGCGACCTAAATGCAAAAACATCGCCGACCAAACACAAAATCTCTGTACATTTCAAATCAAACAAGACCCTTAGACAGAGACTGGTGCATCCTAAAGACAAAACCCCCAGACCAAATCTGAGCAGAGTGGTGTATGCAGTTCATTGCAGTGAGAAATGCTCTGATCTTTATATTGGAGAAACCAAACAACCTCTACACAGATGCATGACCCAACATAGAAGAGCAACCCCTTCTGGACAAGAATTGATTGTTCATCTACACCTTATGGACAAAGGACATTTTGAGGACCAGAATGTTCAAATTTTGGACAAAGAAGAAGGGTGGTTTGAAAGAGGTGTAAAGGAAGCCATTTATGTTAAGAGAGAAAAAACAACCTTACAAAGAGGGGGTGGTCTCAGGTTTCAGCTCTCAGAAACCTACAACGCAGCGATAGAGTTGATTCCTTCTTGCTATCATCCCAACCCCCACCCCATACAGGGGACCATATTGCATGTTAACGAAAAAACCAAAACAACTCCCCATTCCTAAGTTGCAGACCCATTCTTCTGGTTCTATTTGCATGTTTTCTATGCCATTGGAAGGCTTTGTTGGGCTATTCTATAAAGCTTGGAACTCAACACTTATCAAGACATTTTGAATAAAAAAAGATTCCTGGATGGGAAGCGAAATGTCTTTAAACTTGCAAAAAAAAATTTCAGTGGTTTTTCTTTTAGCTTTTTTTACTTTTCTGAAATGACTATGATCTGGATGACTGAGAATCTTCACCAGCTACTTGAACCTAGCTTTTAAAACAGTTGTTAATCATATAAAACTCATGAGGACGATAACACTCTTTAACATTGGATTTGTTTCAATATTTTTTTTCGTCCTTAAAGGTATAATGGAAGATTTTCACGAATATTTGAAAGACCCGCCCTCTCCACAAAAAAAAAAAAAGGCAAATGCACAATCCTGTATCCGCTTCCGAGAGCGAACGCCTATTAAGTGCGTGCAAGTGTGTGCACAAGCCCATTTCTCCTCAAGCACCCTCTGTTTAAAAGTTTCTGTATGCATCTCTCATACAAGCTTACTTTTGTGAACATGGAGACGAGCAGATAGGACGGTGTTACATAAACAGATCACCAGAATGATTGACAATTAGGAGGACCACTTATTTAGATGATCCACCCGGCAAAAGAAAATCCTCCGCTATATTTTTAAATAATCAGTCATCTTTAAGGAGGCAAAAACATTTTCACTCTACTGTAGAGATTTAAGTAGATCTACATAGTATTTCTTAAAGCAATAACACAAAGAAGAGTATTAGACGTTATTGTGTGGAAACAAGGATGTTTGTGTTACAGTAAGGTTTCCTCGTGTTTGTTTTCTTATTATTTCTAAGTTTTTTTAATTGTCATTTGGTCTTTTTCACAACAGCTCATTCCTCTTTGGAGCTTTTTGGTAATTAGGTCATCTGTACATTTTTCATTTTTGTGTAGAGGTCCTACTGATTATTGTACCATGTATACCTTTGCATCACCCTGCCAAGAAGCACATTTCATTTAATCAGAGTAATTACCGGTAAGCAATTTTTATCAACTACACTGTAGTTTATTTTCTCTTGTAAATGTTTGGCTGACTTGCTGCTGATTTATTTGAATTTCTCTACTTTGGGAACAGATTAAACTGCTCGTCTTGCCTCCGTGTTTAAGCTCCACGGTTTTCATTGTTTTTTGCTCGATTGTAACCTTTACTAGTATCTCCATGCCAGAAATGAATATATTAATTTCCTCTCTCAGTCTAAGTTCTCCCTGCACTCAAGTCCCACCAAAAACATCCATGACAGTTTACTAAAGTTCCTGCCTTTCTAAAATTAACACCAAGGAAAAAACTCACACAAAGAAATCAGTAGAGTGAGAATTGAAAGCCATTAAAGATGAAGCTACGGAGGCATCAAATCACCATGATCAAAGTATTTCCGAGGACGTGAAGCAGAGTTCAACAAAGTTTGTTTTCAGCATCAAACATAGTAAAGACTAGAATCCAAACACTGACAGGTTAAAATCTTTGCTCTGACAAACTTGGAAACAAACTCCCAACCTCTGAGGAGCTTTTTCTTCATTCTGATAACTTAAAATGTTTGTGTTTCAAGTTGTAAGAGGATGTGTGATCATTATAAATTGCTATGAGCTTTTGGCTGCCTCTGCCGTCTGTCTAATGAGGATAAAAAGCACTGATTAATGCCCCATTAAAGGAACTTTATTGGATTTGGAGCCAATCTGCTAATAATTTGGTTGTATTACTGATGTTCAACATAAATCTCTGTAGGATGATCGCTTCAGTACCTTCAGCAAACTGAATAAAGATGTGAAGCATAGTAGTTAAACTCACCATAAAGTTGGCAGATTTAGGCTAACTCTGAGGTGGTTAATGCTCTAAAATAGAAGCAAGCATCATTTACATAGAAGAGAATCCAAAGTCCCTTACGGGATTTCAAAGTCAAGAATAAAATTAATAAAGCATAATAAAAATATGTTAAAAGTACAGATATCAAATGCCATTTTTAGTTATGTTGTTTACTTATAGGTTGCTAGAACAGGGTGACCAGACTTCCACGATTTCCCTGTTTTGGACCACCTGTCCCAGGCTAAACCTGTCCCCGGAAATGTCCCCGATTTGACCTTTTATGAATGAAGGGGGAAATGCTGCATGTAGATTGTTATTATGGTAAAAAAGCACGTGAGCATGTTGCAGGGAGAAGCAGCTGTTAGGGTAGCATTCTGCGCTGCTGTTAATACAAAGATGATTAAAAGAGTGCACTGCTTGTTGGACTGTAATAATCCTTATGGATCTCAGCTGCCATTAAAACACAAAGAAGAAAAGGAGCGCACCACTTTTTAGACAGGAGGAAAAAGCGGAAGTTTATCACATCCCGACACACCTGATGAGGAGCTGCCCTAATTATGGTGAGTGAGTTAATCAATTGAGCTGATCCTGTGATTAAAGTTTGCTTCATGACCAATTTAAAAAATATTTAATAAAAAGAAGAAAGATAAGACCATGGTTTACTGCTGGTATGAGTAAAAGAGACTCGGATTGAAAAATCAACGCTAATCTGGTTCAGTGGATCTCCATGTTTCAAGCAGGGATTCATCTTAAGATGTTTTAGAACTGATTGGTGACATTTAGTTTATATTTAAGAAAGTTTTGTATTATAAGTTGTTTTTCTGCTTTTCTACCACTCAGTTTTGATACAAGAACATTTCTCATTAAAAATAGGAGTCAGTTACAGGAAAACTCAGACACAATCTGCATGATCGGATGGAGTAAGAGATAACTACCTATCCAATGTTCGTTTATTATGCTGTTTTTGCTTCTAGCTCCAAATATTATACAAAATAAATATTATTTAGCATTTTTGGTATTTAATCAGATGAGAACAAAAAGTTTTCCTGTTGTACATTCTAATGTTTTTGGAAGTGATTTTCATTAATGTCTCTGTTTTAGAATAGTGTAATAATTGAGGGGAGACAAAAAAGATAGGAAGACAGAAGACTGAATAAGAGTGGAGGAAAACTGGAACACTGATGAGAACAGTTGAAGAGAAGGAAGAAAATCTATATAGAATAGCAAAACAGAGAGTAGCCAGAAGTCAGAAGAGGGCTAGAAAGAAAATAATGTAGAGAGGGAAGAAGACAGAGAAGAATGAATGGATCAGAAGTTTGTATTTACTTTTTTGGTATCTCTATTCCTCATGTCACTCTCTCCTAAGGGGGAGGCGGAGCTCTTTAGGCCCCAAAAATCAGAAAGCCCTGCTAACCACCTTTGACCCCTTCACTCTCAATCCCGACCCAGAGACATTTCTAGTTTTCTATTAAAAAAAACACTATAGATTTATTCATTTTATTAATCTTGAGAAAATACTACCAGTGTGAATGTGTTGAGTAGGCATATGCTCTAAAATGATAACTACTGTTTAATTCGGAATTTTGCATAAGCTAAACTAAATTTTGGTTTACTGTTTATATTAAGAAAAGTGATTCTTGATTGTGTATCAGAGCAATGAATTTGTTATTTTCTTAGTATTGTGAAGAATCCAAGCTTTTCAGTGTGTTTATGGTGTTCCAGTCAAAGTACCAAAATATTTTATAAGGTTAGGCCATTTCATCATATTATCCTCCCAGTTCAAAGCCGCAGCAGGATCGATACTTTATGGAAAATATATGAGAACGTCCCCATTTTAGAGTCACTGCCATCCAATTTTAATATAACCTGACCCTTCTCAACATTTAAGAAAAGAGAAGCAGAATTACCTTGATTGAAATCACCTGAAAAAGCCTGTGAAATTTGTCTATTGACCAACAAAAGAATTATGAAATCTGTTCGTTGATAAGCAGAAAGTGAATGCAGTGATTTATAATCTGATCCATTCACTTGGATTCTGGCAGCTGCATTATGGATGAGTTGAAGCTGCCTGATTATTTAAAAAAGACTTATAATGGCCCTCTTGCAGTTATGACTTCTACTAGTAATAAAGGCTTATCATTGCTTTTCTCCATCCTGGATCTATGAGAACAACTTAAATGTTGGGTGTTTTTAGGCTTTTTAGTTACAGACTTATGTGATTGTCAAAATGTAGACCAAAACTAAATCCATACACACATTCACACTCTGCACTCTTTAGCCTCACTGAGCCGAATACTGATTTCAAATCTCACATGTTTGGTTTCTCTTATCTGCCTGAAGCTTTAGAAAATCGACGTTTCCACTTATCTTTATTTTAACACTGACTTTGTGATTGCTGTCTAAGACTAAACTTTCTAAAATTTAGGGCAGTTTTGTGTCAACAACATGTTTCCACAGAGTTTGTGGAAAAGCAAAGACAGAGGAAGGAGTTAAAGGTGAAAATAGATTTATTGTAAGATACAGAAGCAAGACAGAGAGATGTAAAAGGTCAGGCCCTGCAGGAGAGAGAGCATGGAGGTAAACTTTGTTTGAACTCCTGAAAACACCACAAAGGGCATAAAGTCAAAATAAACAGCAGGAGTCTTTGTCACAGTTCCCTCTTTAGATTTTTTTGTTTTGCACAGAATGTTTTACTTTCAGCTTATATTTTCAATCGCCTTCTGTTGGCAAACTTAAAAAGGGATTCTAGACATTTGGTTTGCATTGTAACAGAAGAATATAAGCAACATAAGCAATGATGAAGATAAACATTGATATATAAAGGCAATATAATAAAATGTTAATGTGTTGGGTTTTACACTGGTGTGCAATATCTTGGTATTCTGCTTGTTGGATGTTTATTTTTTGTATTTATTTTTTATTCTTATGAGTCTGAATTTAGCCTATGCATGTGTTTTTAGTTGGGATTTTATTTTATGTGTAATAATTGTTTCTAATAGCAGCTACTACTATGCACTGCACACTTGGGTCCATGACACATTTCCCCTAGGGGACAATAAAGTCTATTCTATTCTATTCTATTCTATTCTATTCTATTCTATTCTATTCTATGCAATGCTATTCTATTCTATTCCATTCTATTTTGCTGTATTGTATTGTATTGTATTGTATTGTATTCTGTACACTACCAAACACTGCAAACTTAAGCCATTAATGAAATTGCAACTTTTAACCCCACCTTTTGGAGGCTAAAGTGGAACAATCCAAATAGCCAAAGCAAAATAAATATATATTTATATAAATATACATATAAAGAGAGTGTATGTGTCTATAAAAATATGTAGGTATGCATGTCTTTCCTCACTCCACCCAGAATGCTTTACACCTGTTTTGTTGTCCCTTCTGATTGACGGCTCTATTCTCTCCATGTTGCCTGTTCCTCTGTTGCTGAACCATTTCTTTATCATAATGGCTAATGATCACCTACATTGTGTGTGTTTTTTTTATTTATTTATGATATTAAAAGAGTGTATTTCACCTTAGTCAGACTCTATGCTTAGGTTCCACAAATATAAACATGTCATTAACATCACTCAGATAAGGTACCCCTAATGCACATTATGTATTAATACATTACTAATCTATACATGCTGCCAGAACAGCACCTTTAAGTGGACGTTTAAGACAGACTGATTGGCTTACACACATGATGTACTAACTGGTTCGAGAACAAGCCTCCTTTATGTACAATTGGAAAACACATGCATCCAGCCACATGCAAACCCAGCAAAAAGTCTCATATGACTCCCATCATGTGCGGCTATAGCTGTCTGCTAAGACATCCTGCAGGTCTGCTGACATCCTCATTGTTTTGACAAACTGCCGGATCATCAGGAAACTGCATCAGTTAACCTTTTTTTTTTTTTAGCTCCTTCACATTTCTGTCAAACATTTTTATCTCTTGTTTGCATGTTTACGTTTTATTTATTTATTTGATATATATATATATATATATATATATATATGTATATATATATTTTTTTTTTCTGGGCAAAGCACATAGAGGGGAAAAAATCACTAGTTCTAAAAATGTTGATATCTAATATTAATGTATCTGCTGAGGTGGATAATCAATATTTCATAATATTAACTATATCTTTTCAAGCCTCAATTACTGTAAAAAGATGCAACAGCATGACCAAGCCCCTCTTCTGTATACACAAACAGTAATAACATAGAAACTAATATTTGTTTTTTTTAAACCAGCCCAGTTTATGCGTGGGACCAACGCAGATATGTGAAAAAAGCCCTGGCTGCCATTAGCCTCAGAGCTCCGCTGGTTACCACGGTCCTCTCAACTTCGGAAATAGTTTTTTAAATTACGCATTAAATCGGTAAATCGACCATATAGTGATGCTTTAAAGTATAATATTCTCACCTCAAATGATCTTAAAACATACTTTTATTGAACACAGCAACAGAAAAGAGAACTTTTAACTTTCAAAGGAGTGCTCCATTGAAAGCTGCTGCTGCTGCTGCCGCAGTGCTTCCTTGTTGTACTTTCTCCAGCGTCGCGCAGCTTTGTCGTCACGCCCTCAAAACCCCGCCCGCTTTGCATCTAGAAACTCAAACTCAAAACACATCTCTGCATTGTGATTGGCCCGCCAGTTCTAGGGCCTGGGGCATTGATCGAGGCTAGACCAAACTTGCAGGCAAAAATTATTTTGGCCGCTGGCGGCTGGGGCTAGTTCAGGAGGCTTGCATTTCCCATGAGGACCAACAAATACCATGGTAAAATCCTGATCTCCTGGTCACCTGCAGCTGAACTGAATTACATTTCTGTTTCCATTGGCTGTGTGAAATATGAATAGCGAGGAGGTAATGAATCTAACCTTGGATAAACAATTTCATATAATGATGTTGAAAATAAGAAGCGTTTAACTTTGTCGCTAGGCAGAATTTGGGACCGATTAAATGTAGCCAGTGTGAGTCTGCCTTGGTTCTGTCCTAGAAGGAGGAGAAAAGTAATAACAGCAAGGCTGAAAATTAAGAAAAGTAATAACAGCAAGGCTGAAAACTGGCAAATGTTATAAAGTTACAAACACCCTCCTGTAAATTGGGAAATTTAGAATTTTTAAAACCACCTGGATATAGGAAGTCATGTGACAAATAATAACAGGAATAAACTATTCACTTTTAGGAGTATTTATCTCACTAAATGACACAATAGAGAACCACCCAGTTAGTGAAGATGAAGATGCTGTGCTTAAACATGAGAAATTCAGTGGCTTAAATGATAGGTAGCCTGGTCTGTCAGCAAAACAACCAGCAAAGAATTTGATTTTCTTCTTTGTCGCTAGAACATATCATGGCGTCCCTCCTAGATCCATGCTCGGACCTCTGAGGTAAGTGAAGCAAAACAAGCACTGACCTGGAACGAGAAGGAGTCTGTGTCGTAGCTCGATCCAAAGTGGCGGTACCAGACTGTGCCATCGTTCACATCCTCCTGGGTGAAAGAAGCGGTCGGTGTATAGCGCTGATTGTCGATATGGGAGGGGTCCCATCCTTCAGGTGGGCTGTCAGCTGGCATGGACAAGAGCACCACTTCCCCTGGACAGAGAACAGAGGTGATCATCTATGACATTTAACATTTAAAGATTAAACTAGTCACAGAAAATAAAGACTCTAAAAAGTGCATCATGAAAATCCTTTACATAATTTTTTTTTTAATATCCTATGGGTTTAAAAAAAATGCATTCACAGTAAACTGATAAAATGCTTTCCTTATTAGTTTAACACTTTAAATCCTCTTTTATTCCAGGCACTAAACACGTATTTCTACTGAACACATTTGTGTGTAAGGACACACATTTACCATATTTTGGTTGTCCTTCTGAGGAGAGGATGTTGTAGACGATGTCGTCAGTGCCAACTCCTTTAAAGTTTGTCTGCAGATACTTCTTATCGAGCCGCACCATCCCCCCTTCCTTGACCCAAGTCATCGGTAGAGACACCAGATGAGGAGAATCCTGAGGCTGAAAAACAAAAGGGTCAGAATCAGATGGATTTAATTATAAGTGAGACTTATATTCAATAGATGTTTGTCTGTCAGTCACTGTTGCAGAGAAAACCTTACTCATGCAGCCTGTCACCAATTTTAGTCCTGAGGGAATGTTATATTTTTATTTTGTATTTTCTCTCTTTTTTCTTGCACCCTTTCACTTTTTTGAGTCCTGGGAGCTTTTCATGCTACAAATCAGCAGCATGAAAAGCTTCAACACCAAGCTGTCGTCAGCTCTGAGGACCAGAAATAAGAAACAACAAAAAGTTTTTTTCTGATCTGTGAACTGAAACTTTACTATCAGGGTTATTTTTATAATGCCATATCGATCCCAGTGCCTGTGAAACAAAGAGCAGGGCTGGATGTAGAGAGCACCGAGAGATGGCGGATGATTCATTGTCGCTCAAGGCTATTCCAGTTAGAGAAAAATAAAAAATGCTGTCATGGAAGTTTGAATCCAGACCTTTACCTTGCTGTGTCACCCTGCTGTCTAAATAAAAATAGCTGATGTAAAAATCCTGCTTGTCGGAGAATCAAGCCTCTAATATAGTGTGAGAAACGCTAACAGCAAGCAGACAACCTGCTTCATACCAATACAAAGCAAAAAAAACAACCTCTGGAAATTTATGTAGAATCATATATATATATATATATATATATATATATATATATATATATATATATATATATATATATATATATATATATAATATTTCAAGATTTTATTAATCTAAACTAATGCTGTTAGAATCTCCAGGTAAACAAATATCTTACAGAGAACAAACTCTGCTATCAGTTGACAAAAACAACCTAAAAAGCTAATTGTTAAACCTATTCAGGCTTTTTGACTGCCTGGGGCTGAAGGCCTTGGATAACTAACATGCTCATGCATTTTTAAAAATGTTTTAATCCAAATCCAATTTAGCCATAATCATTTGTACAAAATGTTTGAATATGATTTTGGTTACAGAACTCACCGCAGAGCCATTAGATAAAGGTACAAAAACAGCTCTATGTATATTGAGAATAGAATATTTGAGCATGCTTTTATGATATATACAGAATTGGATCTAATTTTATTTATCAAGCACTTTTAAAACTACTAGAAAAAAAAACAACATCACAGATAAAAGACAAACAGTTCAAACATTGGTAAAAGTAACATCCACACAATCAAAGTAATTAAAACCAGATAAAAATATAAAAGAATGAAAGGATAAAATAAAGTGCAGGGTAAATAAAGGAAAAAGGTGTTGTGAGCTTGTTCATGTAAAGAAATCTGCTGTTTTAGTTTTAATGCAAAGGAGCTGAGTGCTCAGGTTGTCAGGTTCTCTGTGTTCTTCATCAATACTGTACAGATGTGGGGGGAGAAGCTTTCTCCTTGGCAGCTATTAGTAGCAAATAGTCAGAAGAGATGTAACCTGCCTTTTTTCCTAATCCTAGACCTGCACAAGACCTGGACAGATGGAAGGGAGCTCTGATGAATCTCCCAACAGTTCCTGTCTTGTTTTCTGGATGAGGGAGCTCCCTAAAAGTCCACCATAACCTCCACCCACTTCAGCAGGAAGCTCAAGTTGATTCTGACTGCACCACTGGACAAGCTAATCCACATTACAGTATGTCTGTATGCAGACTAATCATTGTCCCGGATCAGATCAATGACAGTGGGGTCATCAGTAAACATCAGAGGTTTTGCTGACAAGAGAACTAAGGAGCAGTCAGTTGTGAAGAGAGAGAGAGAAGAGTGAGAGAAGACATCCCAGGGGGGTGCTGGAGCGGATTTGTGTGGAAAAACCTGCTTCCCAGCAGATCCCATAAATTTCCCATTAAGTTAAGATCCAGACAGCCATTGGCCTATATTCATAGGGAAAGCTTCATGCATGGCTTTCCAACGCCTTTGAATTATCAACCTTTCACAGTGGGAACTTTGAATGTTCATTGCATGCATCAACATCATCATGTGGAATAATTAGCTCATCACAAAAAAAAATAAAAAATACGTAGCATTGGTGAGAACAAAAAAAATGGCTGGAATTAAAACATCCACCTGTGAATTCCCACCGCAGAGGTAATAAATGGCATCTGCCGTGCTTGTTCACCTGAACAGCAGCTCCATATTATTGTGCTTGGTGAAAAATGCCTGCAAAAGCGTTCTAAACTGGTTCTGTGTTTGTTATACTGGACCAAATATTGTTAATGCAATTTATTACTAAAATAGCATTGTCCTTGTTACCTCCAGCTGTGTGTCTCTACCAGCTTTTGCAGATTCAAAAATCCCCATCTGTTGTCACAGATCCTTCATTGTAATCTGATTGGGAACTTTACTGTACCACTAAAAAGTATGTTTTAATGGATACCACCTGATGGCATTTATGGCTGCATGTTTCGGATCATTGGACCTCATGCAAGAACCGTCCCTGTAAACAAATTTGATCTAAATTGTTCGATGTCGGATAAAATGTTGCAATCGCCACTTGTCTCCTTTTTCTAATCATCTCTCAGGTACGAACAAATTTTACGATTGCTCCAGACTTGACTTAGGAGTCTTGCTCAATCAGTTAGTTGTTATCCAAACGCAGTATTTCACTAAATGACTACATCTCGTTACTTAGCCTCTCAAAGAGGTTTGAGTTTTGAGAATAACTCAGAATGCATGCAAATTCCACCAGTGAAATGTTTACCAATATAGACATGTTAGACATCGTTGGAAAGCTAAGATTCTCCACAATTCAACCACAAAGTTCCTTTTATAGACACGCGAGCATATATATTCAGAAACTAGAGGGTGTTAGCTTTCAAATAATGTAATTTGGGCTTACAGTTCCTAAGTTATTTGCTTTTTCATTTGGGTATGCAAAATAGGCGAGAATTTCCCAAAAGGAGGTGTTTGTTAGAAACAAATGCGCATTTTATTAGGGTACATTGTTATGTATTAGACTAATCTGTAATTATAAATTACATTTTCATTGGCTGACAGTAGACGGTAGCTTGCATGTTGGTATCCAGGGGACTCTGGTTTCATTTGTTGTTATTTTGTCAAAAGAAGGAACAGTCAGAGATCAAGCTACTATTAAAATAAAGCCCATTTCTGTGAATGAACCCCTTTTGACATGCGAGGAAAGTCATAGCTCTCCCACCTATATGTAGCCGTATATGGCATCATCGGGGAGGTAATTATGCAGATTTATATTACTTGAGAATGAGCGCTCAGGTACACACAAGTGAAATGTATCAGGTTTACAAAGATATATTAGGTTTATGTTATAGAAGTTAAGTACGTTTGTTGAATCTTGTGTGGCGCGTTCTTAATAGCCTTCCCATAGTAAGAGAGTAAATAAACAAAAATACATAAAAGTTACCTGAGGACCATTATCCTGCTGGAAGGGGAACACTTAGACTTAGGCAACTTTTATTGTTTCGTTTTGTACTGCTCTCATGACATTTCCATCTCTTAAAGTGCAGCAGTGATCAAAACACCAGAACACCTGCCCTGTTGTTAAGTCCTCTGTAAACTCTAACAGGTACCTCCATCTAGCCTTTCCTCTCTTTGATTTTACTGAAGAAAAGCACCTCTGCATCATGATGTTGCCGCCATAATGTGTCACTACATGGCTAATTGAGGCAAATGGCAAACATGACAAACACTTGATGGTCCTGTTGCTGCTTTATTTCTTCTTGCCAGTCTTCCATAGAGACTACAGTAAATAGCTAATAATTGCCATGTGAGCAGCATGGGAGCAGATTCTCCAACCTGAGCAAGGATCTCTGCTGCTCCTCCAGAGCTACTGAAAGGCTATCGCCTGCTTCTTTGATAAGACTTTTTTTGTGGGTTTTTTTTTCGCTTACAGCAGTTGCTTGTTTTTTCAATAGTAGGGTGACAGGAAAGGGGTATGAGAGAGGGGAGAGACATGCGGCAAAGGACCACAGGTCAAAATCGAAGCTGGGTTGGCTGCGTCAAGGACAGGTCATCTTGTGTGTTGCAGTTAATGCAGCTAGAAGAGCGAAGTACGCGAGAACGCTGGGACCCTTTTTCCAACTGGATCCCTGCTCTTATTCGGCCTCATGTCCCTCTGTTGTCGCACAATCTTGTCCCCACTTCCTCACCGCCTCGGCCATATCTAGACCCACAGCTAGTTTGTGATTGTCCCTCTTGCGTTGTGGAATAACTGCGCTATGTTAATCCACGCATACTTCAAAATTTATACCAAATTTTGAAGTATGCATCTTCAAAATCGGGCATAAATCAAAAATATCTACTATAAGCTCACTGCGACACACTGCAGCGGGAGTATAACCAGCCCCTAAGGCCTCCATACATTGGTTGTAACCACTACACCACTGAAACATGCCCATTAGTGCACAACTTGTGGCATCAGAGCAACAATCAGTGCGTAAACCAAGGCAATTCTTTTTATAATTATTTTGAATACATTTTTGTATCACAAATACCTGTTTCATCCCAGTATAAAGATACATTTGTTATTCATGGGAAGAATGAAGATGAGAAATTAGCAAAACAAATATTCAAATAAAAAAAAATCTAATGTCTTTATAATTAAAGATCAATTTATCAAAAAAGTCATATTGAGAATGATGACAACTGAATGTAAATCTAAAACAAAAAACTATTTATGCCAGGTTTGGTCAAGCTAAGATTATTAGTAGCTTTTTTGACACAGCGATGATTTCATTTCACTAATTTAATGCTCATCAGTGCTGCAGCATACATATTTTGCTACAAACAGAAAGAAAAGAAAAGTTTTAATTATGCGTGTGAGACAGACAGTGTTTTGCATGAGAATCTTAATTTAAAGATTGAAAACCTGCAACCACCTCTGCCTGCCGCTGATCCAAATCACACTGATTCACAGAGGCCGTGATAGAAAACAGAGAGGCACAGAAAAAGAAACCACATACATCAGCACGGCAGGCTTTTAACTCACAGGAACACATCATCTGGGAGATAATGGCTCT